GCTTCTACAGAAAGGTAAATGAGCCAATAATACACCTGAACTAATGCAGTTACATCTAGCATTTTATCAACAGATGTCTGTGCCCATGCTTTGTTGCTTGGAACTGTACAGTGCAGGGTGGTTCAGCAACTTGCCAAAGTTCCCAAAGCAATTTAGTGGAAGAAATAGGAAGAGAAGCAGCAAATCCTTACTCTTCTTTCCTCCACTGTAATTTTCCTTTTGGGGTCTGGATAGGTGCAAGGTACCTGGAAGTCTACTCACCTGGTTGAATTGTTTGTAGATATATAAAAGGCTGCTCACATTCCTCAGCAAATAAACCAGTTCTGCTGGAGGTGACAATATTTTGAATATATGAATATATTTCTGTCAGAAATCTTTCTTTTACAAGCATTGCTCTCTCATGTTGTGGACATTGTTAATGGCTATTTCCTGTTTTGAAATATTCCTATTTATTGCTCATAACCTTATCTTTTCGTCAAACTCCAAAATGTTTTTTCTGGCAAGAAAAATTCAAGAAGGTTATTGCATTTCACTTCCATGAAAGCCACTATGATATTTTTTTTCTGATGACTATCCCCTCAAAAGTTATAATAGTAAAGTAAATAGTAAAGTAAATTATTTTCAACAAATAATTCAGCTATAGCCTTGTACTTGCATCCGTCAAAGTCAAAGATGAAATGGAAGCTGAGATTTGCCTCATGTTTCTTTATGCAGATGACTCCTAGATGTGTCCCCATAGCAATAGCTACATAATTCCTGGGGAAAAAAAAAAAAAAAAAAAAAAAAAAAAAAAAAAAAAAAAGTGAGAGAAACAGTAATCCTGTCTATTCTCTGTATTTTCTTCTTTTTTTTCCTTACAATGCAAGAACATGATTTGTTCCAGAAGAACATTGCAATAGTATTAAGCATTATATTTTTCAGAGAGAAGGGAAGATGTATTTTATTTTAGACTTTGTAGAAAAACTTATTTGTTTGGAAATACAGCAGATTATTATTTTTTTTTCCTTCTACCCTCTAGTAATTTGGTTCAAAGGTGCTCCTTTGGGGAAATTACAGGGAGTTTACAGTGATGGTATCTCAGTTCATAGGTAGGATTTCTTCACCTGCAATTCCCTCAGAGCTGCAGCCTTTGACATCTGGCTGCATCTATCAATGGTGATGTGACAGTGACAGAATATTTTGCTAGATTTTGAATGATTCCTGGAGTTCACAACTTCTGTCCTTAGCAATAAAATATGACAGAGGTTCTCTTCCCCATGCCACAGTTTTTTCTGTAGAAAGTATCTCTGAATAATTTTTTTGTTTGAGCCCTAAGGGGAAAAATCCTATTTTCCAATTAATGTCGGACTGTTACTTCTGTTAATGATATTCTATTATTAATTTGTATTTACTGAAAAACAGGACTCAAAGATCTATGTTCCAGGGCAGTTGTTTCTTTATAAGCATTTTCCTTTATAAATCAAGTCAATGAAATATGCCCTTTTTCATATTCTGACATTTTACAGTTTCATGATATTATAGTGTTTTCCTAGGAAACATTGAGGAAACTCCTTTTGAAAATCATATTATTTCTTTTCCATTAAAAAATTTGTAACTATCGAATAATTTCAGTCATTCACCCTTGCAGTCTGCTGACACAACTGTATACACCTCTGTAATCAGAGCTTAAACCACGATGAACCTTGAGCATAATTCCTTTCTCTTCCAGGATGACAAACAAAAAAACAAACCAAAACAAAACAAAACGAAGTGAGAAATTCTGCATTTAGCTGAATAACATTTTTTTTCACTTTTCTGCTATGCACTCGGAGAAAAGAAAACCTCAAAAGGAGATTGTGTTCTCAACAGCAACACTGATGAGGAAATGATAAAAATCTAAATCTCAAAATACAGCTAGTATTGGATGAGATACACAAATCATCTTCTGTTTCTTCCAAAATCCATCCTTCCCTAGCAGTAAAGCCCAGTTTTCAGTTCACATCTTCACTTTCCAGGCCAGAAAGATTCTTTTCTTGCAGGCTAAGTTAAAGGTTGGGAAAATAGGATTTACTGGGGTAGCTGTTTTCATTAGAGATAGGAAATTGTTAATGTGTCTCTACAATGCAATGATAAAACCAGGTAGATTGACTCCCTGTACTACTGGGTCCAAAACAGAAGTCTGCAAAACCATGGTTCTCATCTGGTTCAAGAAAGATAGTAAAATGCGTGGAATTATTATTAAAATTTTGATGACAGGAGATGTTAGGATTTGACAAGAAATACTGTATATTCATGCTAAATTTTCAACTATTGTTACATACAGTTCTGGCTACTGAAATTTAAGAAAGAACTTGGAGTTAGACAGACACAGAAATGTGTTTCTACAATGACTAAAAAATGGCAAGCCTGTCACTGCAAAGGTTTGTAAGAGTTTGGTTTGTGTAACAGAGACAAGAGGAAAGACTGGGTGGGCTGATTTATTCTGTAAGTACATCAGTGGGGAAAACACAAGAGAGGGAAAATACCTGAAGCTAAAGGACAATGCTAACACAAGAACAAAGAGATACAAGGTAGACAGGAATAAATTCAGACGGAAAATCAGAATATTTCTCCTTGAGAATAGGAAAGATCTGGAACGTCCTTCCAAGTCACATACCCAGATAGTCATTTCATGAATTTATGAACAGGTTTATATGATGTGAGTGTCTGCAATAAAAAAGACTAAATTCATTGACACACAAAAGTCTATCCAAACCTCCATTCCTAAAGCATGTCTTTCAGAAATCCATGCAATATTGCTTAGCTACTCAGGTAGTTCCCTTTTTAATTTGTTTTAGTGTTTAACTGTTCTTCCAGTTAGGAAACTGCACTTTATTGCAGGGTTGAAAAGTGTGCAGTCATTCACCCGTTGGACCTTGCTGTGTGCCATTAGCTGCAAGATAAATTTCTGGGCTATTGGACTTCTTTTATGACTGTGACTCCCAACTATGGTGGTCAAGTCACTGCTTTGCTGCCTGTGCAGTGGAGAGAAAACACTTGAAACACTGTGCAGCCTCCTCTTATTCTCTCAATCAGTTGTAACCCTCCTTCAAGCTTATTTCTGTAAATGTGGATACAAGACTAATCTTTCTGGTCTACAGTGGCAAGATAGGTCTTGTTTCCTATTTGTTATTCTAGAGTATTGCACTGAAAGTTAATGTTGATGGACTTTTCCTTTCTGTCTCCATAAATCCTTCTCTATCTCACTGCCTTCCAGAACAGAATCTCCTCTCCAGTGAGCAGAGCTTGTGCTTGTCCAGGAGCATCAACCTTCCACCTGGCTTCATTCAGAAAAAACGAAATAAATAAAACATATTTTACTACCTTTTTATTTAACTAGGCAGTGCAGAGAATGTTATAACAATGACTTTCTGTCTTCATTATCTTTGTACCGGTTCTATGTATATCCGTATCTTACCAGCAAAGATTTTATATTATCCTGTAGATACCATTATTGGTTAGTATTCGATCAAGAATCATTTCCCAGCTCCTTACTGGACACCCTAATTTTCTAGCATAGTAGATACCTTTCTATGGAGAAAAAAATTTAAGCTCTGTCATTGAACCAGCTTCTGTGTTGTCCATAATCAGTTCCATATAAACCAGGTTTAAATAAAAACATTGCATTACTAAAACACATATATTGAAAAAAATGCTTGGAGGCCATTTTAACATAGCCATCTCTATCAACTATACCTGTTATCCTGTCAAAAACAGATAAGAAGCTCACTTGACAAGACTCCCATTCCAGTACTGCATAGTGACTGGCATTAATGAGATTTTTTTCTTTCGATTCTTTGTTGACAGAACTGTGGATTAACCATTTTGTTATTCCGCATAGGATTAATGTTACAGTAATTAATCTGCAGTTCCCTAGATCATTTCTTCTATCCTTTTTAATATTTGAAGTACACTGGCAGAACTCCAGTCCTTTGGAAAATCCCAGTTTTCTATGTTTCATTTCTGCAAAGTAAACATAACCAGATTAAATATGTCTTATCAAGCAAATTTCTAACTTTTAGCAAGTTAGTCTCTGCCTAGCAAAGCAATATCAAATACTGAGCAATTCCTTGCTGCATATAAGAGTTTCACTGTTAAGATGTCCGCATCTGTTATTCTTAGAAACAACAGAAATGTTGCTATTTGTCTCATAAACACTCCATAAACGCCCACTTGTTTGAACCCAAAATAAAATACATTTATCTCCTGAATGTAAAAAATAAATATGTAGGGAGTAGTCTATCCTACTCTTTAATAAATTAAATGTGATGAAAAAGGCACAGGTATCCGTAGTGATATATATAAAATGATGTATATCCATAACCATTTTTAGGTATAATTTTAATCTATAAACATTCAATGTGTCTCTGAATCAATAATGTCTGTGCAACATTAGTATCTTCCCAATACAGTGCTGTTCCTCCTCTCCTCTATCCCCAGTTTCATGAAACAAATTATGATCATTAATATAAGAACATCCTCAACTCATGGTATTCTTTAGCATCCTAGCAGAAGCCGTGACATGTATGTTCAATAGCAGACTTTTACATTACAGTGCTTTTAATAACCACCACACTTTGTGCTCTTTATCTGAAATACACATTTTCAGTATTTGAGGTCACAAACCAGTGATGTATTGTTATCATTTGTGCATTGTAAATAGCATGTGGTCCATAATTTCTAAACCAAAACCAGTTTGAATGTATGAATTCAAATATAAAATGTATGAATTAATGCATTGAGATGCTGTGCTTATGAAACTTAATGCTATCTGAAGGTATTTTGCTCAGAAACCTAAGTATGAGATATTTAAGCACACCGCACCTCTTTGATGCTTCCTCGTTTAAGGCAAATTACAGCAAAGTTCTTTTGTTGCTGAAACAGGTCTGGTTTGGCATTCCTCTGTTGTTTCCTTTTTTTGTTTTTCTTCTTGTGTTTGTTTTTGGTTGCTTGTTTTTGTTTGTTTTTTTTTTTTTTAACAGGTGATTATCCAGCTCCTCGTGCTGTTCTAACTGGTCATGACCATGAAGTTGTCTGCGTGTCAGTCTGTGCAGAGCTGGGACTTGTTATCAGTGGTGCTAAAGGTCAGAAATGTTTTTATAATTTAACTCTTAACATTTTTAGAGCCTTTTTTAGTGATACTTCTTAGTCTTCCCTCAAGCCACAAATACTTTAGTTATCCAAAGTCTCCTCTACTAAGGTGTTATAATTCTGGGGGAATCTGCAGCAGCTTACTCTAAATGCTATTACTTACTATCTGGACCTACAAGGTTTAGACACAAATTAACTTGATCGTTCCTTCTAACTGCTAGCCTGTGCTACTATTCCCCCCAGATCTGGAGGAGTATTTGATAAAAATTTATACAATAACACATAATGACATCTGCTGATTTTGAGGAAACTGTTGATAGAGACCTGTATTTAAGGGAGGCCCAGCTCCAAGTTCTCCACCCTATTCTTACTGAATGACAGTTTGTAGAACAGACATCAGTGTCTTTAACAAGGCAAGCAGGGTCAGTTTGCTTGGGTTTGGATCTGTGGACAGCATTTCATCTGGTAGCTTTTTTTTTGTAGTGGACTCCAAATAATTAGGAGTTTGCAGGTTTGTTGTTATCTCTCTTCTAGAAAACAGAGCCGTATGTTCACTCTTTCTCCCTGTTATTTATCTATGGAATCCAAGTATCCAACAGTTGCTAACACAAATGTTCAAAGTAGCTTTCCAAACCTGCAGCAGTCTCCTGTGTAACTGGTAATCAATGTAAACAAAGCACCCACCTCAATGACTGCTTCATCTTTCTTTTCTCCTGCATTTGGTCTGTTTCACTTGTTCTGCCCACTTTCTCCTTTTCCCCTGAATTCCATGTCCACTCTTCTTCCCCCACTGCCTTCTCTCATTCAGCTTATTTTCTTAATTTGGAAAACTGCATATCTTTTTCTCTTTTCCTTTCTTTTTTGCCTCCCCCTCCTTCCCTTTTTCTCCTACTTTCTTTTGTGCTACATTATCTCTTCTCCCTTCTTGTTTCCTTTCTTTACATTACCCTTGTCCTTCCTTAAGGTTCTTCTTCCCTATATATCTTCCTGTCTCATTTCTAGTCCACTCCTACATCCACATCCAGCTACTTGCTTTCTCTGTCTACAGTGATGTCTGCTTTATTCATCCCCTTGGATATACTTTTACTCATTTTTAAAAAGTTTGCTGCTTCTGAGGGTAAGAAGGATGTGATGCTTGGTCTGCCCACTTTTGCTCACAGCTGAGCTCCTGGGTTATGATCTTTTATACTGCCCCAGAGATCAACATTTATTTTCAAAGCTGAGTGTGAAGCTTTTGAGTAAAGGCATTTTTACCAGGAAATCCTAATGGGTCATTAACTCTCATAATGACATAGTACATAAAGTTGTAGACAAAGTCAAGACATTTACAAAAAAAAATCTGCAGTGATGCTGAAACTAAAGTTTTTTCTTGCAGCACTGCTATTTCTTATCTTTTAAGGCAGCTTTATACACTGTTACTGCCATAATAGTGTGCCCTTTCCAACTATCTGTTTTGCAAATTCCCTCTTATTAAAATAACTGGAATCTGTACTCAATTATCTTCTGCTTCACTAAGTATATAATGCTCTGGTAACTTACATATTTTTAGAAGCAAAGGCTGCTGGAGGACCAAAGACTTTTACATGAAATCCAGAACATGTTTCTAATTGATCAAGAGAACTGGAGGCTCAGTCTGTCCCCTGAGTTACTCTTCTCATATTCTTCCTCTTCAAACTTTAGTCCATATATAAATGCAGTCAGAACATCCCTTTTTTTTCTTGCTGGTTTCCAGCAGATGCCTGTTTTAAAGCTGCTTCTTCAGTTTCTGACCTTTCCACTCCCTTTCAAGCTTCTTAGATTGCATTTCATGGCAGTGCTGCGTTGCTCTGCCATCCTGCCTGTGCACTGCCTGTGCTCCCTGTTGTGGGGATGGTGTCCCTCCAGAGCTGGCTGTGGCACTGTGATAACACACACAGTACTCGAGAATCTGCTGAGGCAGGGAGACAGCACATGCAAGACTCCTCTGAGAAAAATCCTGTGCATCAGGTTGATGTTTGCACGTTCTCATCCAACAAACACAAAAAAGAGCGGTTGGTCTCTATGTCTTTACAGTAGCATCCTAAATCAGATTTTCTTCGTGCCTTTTTGTGTCCATCACCACTTGGCTATGAAGGCATTACACTTTTCTTTTGAAAAATCTAACACGGTAATTATTCTAAAGGTGGAAGCATCACTTCTTATAACATTCTGGCAATTCAGTATTTCCAAAGCTGAAACTTAAGTATTTGAGGAAATAAATTAATTCCATTGAAGTCGTATCCCATGAACCCAGTCAGGAGTGTGGTCTCTCTTCATAAGACTTTATGCAAACACAGATAAAAACCTGTACCAGAGGACTCACACTCGAATGCACTGATGCTGTGATTCATTCTGCTTGGGCAAACCCAGCTGCTGTGTGAATTTCAGAGAAGTTAGAAGGACTTAACATGAGGTGGCTGAGTCTGCCAGTATGAATTTACTTTCAGGGTCATAAGCCAGTTGTATAAGGAAGAGATTACTGTGCTGTCCAGGAGTATCCTATGATTCATAAAAGAAAAAATTTAGTATTTACCGTGACCCACTACATTTATCATAGAAGAGACTTTTTTCTTAGTAGGAATAGATTTCACTTTCACAAGAGCTTTTCTCATAGATCTTGAAATGGAAATAGCCTAGTTTTGTGTCTTAAAATTTACATTGTAGATTTCATACTTGTTTTTTTCTTGCATCAACATTAATAAAAAGGCATTAAAACCTTGTATTAAAATCTCTCTGAAGTAAATGCAGTTATAGTGTGGACTCCTAAAAGCTCTTAAAGTCCAGATAGCTTAGTAACTCTGTTGACTGTTGGTTGACTCCCATTGTTAAAACAATTTGGGACTGAAATCTCTGCATATAACATATTCACTGGGGGAGAGGACCTACAGGAACTGCCACTGTCTATAGGAGAAATATGCAGTGATATGATTATATGCCCTCTGGGAGTTGCTCCTACTAGTCACTGATAGAGCCCCATCTGTTTAATGTGAACAGGCAGGCTAAAGAGAGTTCATGTTGTTGGAGGAAGGCAGTAAGGCTGAGGCTTCTGAATGCTTGGAAGGAGGAAAAAATATTTTAGAAAACAGATCAATGACAACTCCTACCAGTTTAAGTAAATAATAAACTACCATGTTTAGTCATGTTGCATCTGTTTTCTTAACATGGTTGCATTTCCTTTTCTGTTGCATATTTTAAATTCTTTAAGCAGACATTGCATCTTCTTATATCTATGCAGGACTAATGTGATATAAATGTGTATTATGCATTGCCTTTGTACACAGAATATATGGTTTGTTTAAGCAGCAAATGTATGATATATTATGTTTTCATATACAGAAGGTCCTTGTCTGGTACACACAATTACTGGAGATTTGCTGAGAGCCCTGGAAGGAACAGAAAACTGCTTGTATCCTCGCTTAATTTCAGTATCTAGTGAAGGTCACTGCATCATCTACTATGAACGAGGACGGTTCAGCAATTTCAGCATTAATGGCAAACTCTTAGCTCAGATGGAGATCAATGATTCAACCAGGGTAAATCTAAATGCAAACAAACATTTGTTGTGTCTCACCCTGATTTACTAAAATAAATTGAATGTATTTGCCCTGTGGTTTAAAGGAAATCATATATGTAAAATTGCCGCCTCCTGGTTAAGTCATATTCAAACACAGATCCTCTCGTCTCCTTCTCCAAAAGCAAAAAGGCACTTGAGCTTTTCCAGAATAAATAAGAACAAATTGTTTATGATCCCACATGATTCCTGGAATTTTTGTTTGGAATTAAATTTCGGTGGGAAATATGTCTTAAAGACAAATTGCTCTGAAAAGAGTCTAGTCTTCATTTATTAGCCAAGACATGAATTTGTGCCTTCAGGGCTCTGCTCTGTCACTATCACTTGAAGCAGCATTAGGAATGCAGATTGCTGCTCTGCTTTAGGTGTTAGTGATGGCACCAAGTATTGTAAGACAAACATTGAAATGTTAAGTGCTGAAGTCAAGTCTTGGAAGATTCAGTTAAAGAGCTTTTTGTTTATATATTATGTTTAAAAGCACACATTTCTTTTATTTAAAATCTGGAGGTCCAAAATTTGTTGGTTTAATTTCTGATCGGGGAGAAATAGGAATGGGAGCCTTTTTCTTCAAAATTAAAGTGGGCAGAGCTAAAGAAATGCTTGAAGTTGACTACATTTTTGGAATATTAACCCATTTCCATAAAAGCTAACAAATGTGCTTGGGTTTTGTCTTTTTCTCCTGAAGGCCATCCTCCTGAGCAGCGATGGGCAGAACCTGGTGACAGGGGGAGACAATGGTGTAGTGGAAGTATGGCAGGCCTGTGACTTCAAGCAGCTCTATATTTACCCTGGCTGTGATGCTGGCATAAGAGCTATGGATCTGTCTCATGATCAGAGGTGAGTTTGTCATTAATATTTCTATGCAAATGGTAAAATTACACAAAGTATATATATCAATGAACTTTAAGGTATGAATTTATGATACGCAGTCATTAACAGATTATGGTACAGAACCATTACCCCAGTTGTTATCTTGCTTATTTATCTGACTCAGCATTTTTTCTGATCCTTGACCCTCATAGTGCAAGCACTTAACATTAAGGTGAGATCTTTTATCATTGAAGTCAGTAAGCTGGAGACTCAGCTAGCAAAATATGAGTAAAATTGCATTAATTTAAGAACATAGGAATAGTCAGACTGGATTGGAATGCAGTAGTGACTATTAAACAATGTCTTAAAACCAATTACAAAAGTTTGTTGTACATTTCTGATTTTCAGCTGTGTAGAACTTCTTGGAGTTGCATCTAGACTATAATGTGTAATATTATCAGTGGATCTATCCACAAGGAGTGAGTGTGGTTCTTTTCTTTGACCTTGAGCAATGAAGATGCAGTGTACAAGCCTAGATTTTTGTAGTCATTGCTGGGGCACTAAAACACACAGCATAAGTGTAAAAGATATATGAAACTGGTCCCTCAGTCTTCTATTGTAATGTGATTATAATGTAAGCCTATATGTTGCATTTATATGGGGTTATGAGTATATTTGCTCTTTACATCATGGATCAGTCGTATTCCTTATTAATATACAAACTCATGACATGCAAAGAATTCATAGAATATTACAAAAATCATACAGCATTAATTTCAGTTTATTTTTCTTACACTTTTCAGCATTCCTATGCTATATACCCATTTTGTAAAGCAATAAAACTGCCTATATACAAAATACATACCTCATTTACTCATGTATGAATAGATGATTTGAAACAAGTTTTTAATCTCAACTTGGTCTAATTGAAACTAACTTACTAGAAGAGACCTATTTGCTTCTGGAGTTTTGCCAGTTTATGCATACAGTACTGTGCTCTGTTTGAAGAGATTTATTTATACTGCAAAAAATTTCAGCTTGCCTGTTTTCTCTATCCCTTATTGTAACACCAGTCTGGGAAGCCTCCGCTGTGCAAAGTGCTTTAAGTACCTGCTCAGCTTTAGTCACATAATTAAGCAGGGAATGGCTTATGTATGGTTTGATAGAAGTAGTGATAGATATCTAATCCAATTTTAAAATTCAGCTACCAGAAGTAGAGAATATGTGATAACTGGAAAATCGCATCAAGTATTGCCACCAGAACAACACAAATATGGGCCTACATTTCAGTATGAAACTTTTTAGAGTACCAAGGTGTGATCAGTTTGTGATTATGAGAGCAGTTCTGTTGTCTTTGCAGAGGCATCTCATTCTGTCTAGGAGGCCCAAGGATATCCAGGAGATCCCAGCTGCAGCCCCAAGTCCAGAGGTCCTGTGTCCCAGCTGCCAGTCAGCATAGGCATGTCAGCCAATCTGGGGCACCTCCAGTGGCACAAGGTGCCCAAAATTAGGCAGCTGGATTCTAAAACACCTAAAGGAAGGTGTTTTGACATAGGTGACTTCATGTGAGCTACAGGAGGAAGCCCCTGCAATAACTGCGGCAATTTACTTGCTACAGACTGTGGAGTCTAGAGGACAATCACCCTAAAGTACATTGCCCGCTGGCCTGTAGAGAGTTGGTCTTAGACTGCACTGAGGGTACTGGTTAGGGCCTAATTCAGTTGCCTGTGCATAGCCAGTGAGTACTGTTTGAGATGCCTCAGAAGTCTGAGGTACATACCTGGGGTAGCACATATGACAAAGGACCTAGCAAAGACCCATACCCTTCTGGAGAAGCAGCTGGAATCTAGGCAAGATATGTGAGAGAATGATGCTTTTACCTATGTGAAGGCAACTGAATGGACTTCTAGATTGCCCTTGACCATATGGGAACATGGAAATTTGGCTCATATTTCAACACCTAAATATAATGTCTCCATCACAAACTGAATCCATGCCCCCATCTTCAGACAGTGTTGCAAAAAGTGCCTTGTTCTTTTAGATTTCTTTACTGTTTATAGTGAACCACTGCTTGAGAAGGTAAAAGAGGATTAACAAGACCATCTTTTCTATCTTTTTCAGAACTCTGATTACTGGCATGGCTTCTGGCAGCATTGTAGCTTTTAATATAGATTTTAACCGGTGGCATTATGAACATCAGAACAGATACTGAAGTGGAATGAAGAACTGAAAGCCCAGGTAGAGCTGAGAGCACAAGTGCTGCAATGAAAGGTGTAGTCTCTGGTGGAAAACCACGTCTGCATTGACCTCCGTTGTACATTCCATTACACCCAGCAATAGCTGTACATTGTAGTCAGCAACCATTTTACTTTGTGTGTTTTTTCACAACTGAACACCAGCTGCTGAAAAGCAAGCTTGTATCATGTAAATTATATGAATTAGGAAATGTTTTGGTAATTATTTCATATATCTTTGTTTATTGAGAAAAGGTAGTAGGATGCGCCACAAAAGACTTTTGAAAATTCTGGGGAACCTTGTGTCCAGTTATTTCAATGTTTAGGCTTTGAACCTAACATGCATCCCATCTCCAGCCTCTTTTCAAGCTGAGATAAAAAAAATACGTTTGATACTTTGTACATCAGATGCACATCTTAACTTTAAAGGGATACTTTTGTAAAAGTAAAACCTTGTATAAAGAACAAAACTGTTTCTTAATTTTATTGTGGAGTTACAACTTGCATGTACTTTAAACCTGATGTCTTGAAGGAACAGGTGCATTCACACAAATCAAACTGGAGATCTGCCTAAGGGTACAGCTTGTGTTAAAGGGTTGAATTTGGGCGCAAACAGTAATTTTAACATTTCCACCAACACATGTTTTTCACTTTTTGAATCTAAACTTTACCCCTCTTAAGTGGAGTTCTGCTCATGAAGTATCTGGATAAAAAGCCATCATTTGCCATATTTATACTTTATACAATAGAAATTAAATTCCTCCCTTTTAAATTCAAAGACTAGACAGAAAGGGAGCAAAGAGGGAAGTTCAGTTTAATGCTTTGTAATGCTTAATGACTCCCAATACAGACAAAGTGCTATACTTCTGGATTATTAACATTTGGCATAAAAATCATGGGCAAGAGAGCCCCCAGTGTTTTTTTCACTTATTTTTCCTCTGAGTAGCTTGGTTTATTTGACAGCCTTAGCTTCATTGTAAAGGCGACTGAGGTTATTCTTTTTGGTTCTTCTGAAAATCTCACCTGAAGCCACTCAGACTAAGGCACTTCATGTTTTACAATACTGTAATGATAACTATTGGAATAATTTTCTGCACATTGTACTGATCAAATTACACACCCAGGGGTATATACACTTTAATTCATGTTTCTTCTTTGTATATTTGGTGACTGTATTGTCATAGATGTACATATTGTGTCGGTAGGGCTATGAGGCATGTAACAGGAATGTAATTTTCTCAGAATTTACACTCACTTGCAGTCATTTATTTAAAAAGATAATGGATTCTTTGTATTGGCACTTTGCACCAGAAACATATCATTATTTATTGATGTGATTACTTATTTGTTATCCACCTTGTATTAGTAAGTTTAGCACTGAATTTCCTTCTTCATTGTTGTTTGTATTTATGATTCTGAAATCATGGGGATCAGCGTAATGATTAAGTTATTCATCACCCGTCTGTAAGCAATATCTTGAGTTAGTAGCTTAGAATTGGGAGACTATTGAACATCTGGAAGACAAGTTCATTTCATCTTGAGATCATGGTGAAATATTTTGGATATATAAATTCCTTAAGCTATTGTAACCATGTTTTATTGCAAAGATGTAAAATATGCCAGATGTGTGTGAGTTGGAAATCAAAAAGAAAAATAAAATATGCAAAGAATTCAGTGATTGTTTTTCATTTCAATGAACTTTTCATCAAAACATTCACATTATCATTAGGAACAAACAATTATTTTAAGAAATCCTCTTATTATGCTATGTATATGCCAAAAATTATGCATGCCTGGGTGGTTGTATTTCCTGGGGTCTCAGGAAATAAAACAGAGGTTACAGAGTGTGTTTTGCAACTCTTTTGATTGTCAGTACATGAAAAGAAGCTACTAAAGATACTTTGATCAGCAGAAGTGAAAAATCAAAGCCTTTAAGGGATACTTAGGGTCCTTGTGAACGGGAAATAATCTTGTATAGTAGACCTCGCAAAAAGCAAAGATCTGATGAGAGCCATTTTGGCTATCTCTCAATATCTGATAAGATGAAATTAATTTCATCTTATTTTGGACATTCAAAGTTAGATATCTACACTCCTTGCATAGCAGAACAAAACAGTTGGGATAAATTGCCTTTTGGAAATGCTGAGGTCCCTACAAAGATTATAGCAAGTGAGTAGAGATTGATAGTTTTCTAAATGTCAGATGTCTAATTTAAGGTTGTAATGGTAAGCAACATACTTTCCTCATAATTAGAAAACTCTTGACTGACTAAAAAGCAGAATAACAACCAACACTTCAATTTGTTGCCCTACTCATTGCCTTTCCATTTAGAAGGATTGTTCTTTAAACAATTATCAAAATGAACTAAAGCCAATATTTGAGAACCTTATTAGAATACAGTACACATTTTAGCAGGTATCTATTTATATCAATCAGCTTTTGAAGTGGATAACCTGACTGGATTGTTTTGGGGATGGAGGAGAGATGGGAGAAGAGTTGAGAGGATTGGTATGTTAACAGCAGCATGTGAAACCGTTTATTGATATGTCACAATGTCCATTCCATTATTATACAAGTATCACCCCTCATTTCATATTTTATTTTTAAAATCGATTAAAAAATGCACCACTGCAGTTAAACAAAAAATTAATAACACCATTAATACTGTTTGCATGAAGTCTCTCAGCATTATGAGAAGTACAGTTTAGTCACAAATTAGAAGGTTTTGCGCTCAGCAAACCATTGTATGAGAAATTGTCCATGGGTTACAAAAGGAAAAAAGAAGTCATGCTGTATTGCATTCATAGGTAAGGGTACCCAAACAAGTCAGACTCATGTAGTTGTTGTAGTAGTAGTAGTAGTAGTAGTAGTAGTAGTAGTAGTAGTAGTAACAACAAGAATAATGTACCATCTCCATTATGGTTTAAGTTACAAAAATGGGAGTTTTCACGAAGTCACAGGACAAGGAGAATGTTTTAACAGGCATTTACAGTCACATAACTGTGCAACTAAAATATACCTACAATTAAAATAATGCACAGCTATTGGCTGTGTTCCTGCCAGTTAGTCCTAGGTTAAGAATTGGACTATAAACCAATGCATAAATGCATACCAGGAGAATGATGCAACAGCTATGGGTCTTATTGCTTGTCCAGATCCTACCACTGTTAAGGAGGATGCTGCTTTCTCTACACGAACAACAATAACAGAAAGGCTGCAGCATTTCACCCCGAGGAAAGACTAGTTAGGCTCAATTTACTGGAACAAACTTGGATAAATAATGATTATGTTGATACAGAATCTCATGGCTGTGCTTGTAGAGCTAAAAAAGCTGCATGTGAACAACAGTTGTGGTGAATGCTCGTTATAATACCATGCATCAGCCCTGCTGACAGGCGAGCAGGATGTTTGAAGCAAGCCTCGTGCTGCCAGCGATAAAAGCGTTTGAAGCAGAAACAGGGAGCGAAGGACTGACTTCTGATAACAGCAAGAGAAACCACCTCCTGATACAAGTCGTCTAGTACATATAAATATTTCATTTGGAGAATTCTAGCTGGAGTTTACGCTCACATTTTCGAGGGTTTTAACTGTGATTTTATTTAGGCTTTTGTGTGTGTTACTTGCAAATACTAAAAATGAATGGACTAAAACTTACACTGGTATTTAAAGAAGAAAAGAAGTTCTGGAAATTTATATGTCTATGCAATACAGTATAGTTTATAGACTCTCTAACCCCTGTGATTAGTTTTGCAACATCTACAGTTAAGTTTCAAGATCTGAAGCTGACAAGAAAAACAAGTCTGTAGATTACTTTCCTGTAAAATTTATAAGCTGTGGCCATATAATTAGTTTACAGAGGAATTTATGAAGATGAAAATCTGCCAAACAGCTGACTCAGTTTATGGGTCCCTCTGTGGTGACATCATCCCTAAACAGCACTACAGGTCTGCATCATTAGTTAGAAGTAAGTCCTCTCTCAATAGCACCCCATTTGCACAAAGGACCTGCATAATTAACATGGGTACCTACCTGCAAAATTCAGAGCCTGGAGTTCATTTTATTCATTAAAGGATTGGCATAAGGGCTCTGTGTGTCTAAGGGTGCCACAATACCAAGCTACCTTCTGCCTAGCATTCCTAACATCGAGCAGAGAATATGCTTTTATGCAGAAAACCAATACGCAAAAAAAAAAAAAATCCCTGGTGCCAGAAGATTACATATCTAAAAGCTATCGGCACCAGTGGATCTGGTTTAAAAGTTTCATGTCTGTTTATACTTTAAAGAGACTTAGTCTTGACAGGATGCTTCAGTGACCAAGCCCTGTGGCAAAACTAATCCTAGTATCATAGCCATGCAAATTTAAGAATGATGGACTTGGTTTCCCTCACTGTGTAGCAGAACTAGTGATCACCAGAAAAGGCGGCAGAAAAATTGAAAGTGATCTTCCAGTCTTGTTGTACAGCTACCTATATAAATCCAGTGCTCTTATCTGTTCAGATACATTAGTTTGTACAGAGCTATGAAACAGGAAATAAAATAATGCCTGGTGGCCAGTGTCCCTGCATGCACACCTTTTCAAATAATGGTAATAGAAAAAAGTGACTGCTTCAGTAGGAAGGCGGCAGGACTCTGGGAAGGGGCCAGGGGCTTGGAAAAAGTTAGAGAGGGACAGATTTATTCTAAAAGAAAACACTTTGTCCATTTCTTCCAAATAGGCCCAAACAGATTGTCCCAGCTCCAGTCCTTCAATGTCCCTTTCCTCTCTTTCCTCTACTAAAACCTTCTGTCCCCATTGCTTTAACTTGCTATGAGGGACTTTGTCTTTCCTGCAACTATGTCCCTCCTGGTACCCATCACATGCCCTCACTCACCCTAACTGCCAGGGAGAACTAGAGCAGATTCAGCATAAAGCACACATGTGAGGCTTCAGAAGCCCATACAAATCTCTTCACCAAGCTTCTTATTGTCCCACTGTGAGTTGCAGGAGGTAAAAAACTGAAATGAAAAGGGTATCCTACCTTTCAGGTGTCTATTCGAGCAGAACCAGTGGTCATGTGGGAGTATTTTTCTCCTAGTAATTAACACAGGTCAGGCCCCTTCTCTGACCTGAAAGCAAGTGGCATGACAGCCTCTGGCCACGCTGCCAGACTCCCTGGGACCAGTCCTTAACCCATCCTAGCCCATGCACAATGCAGGGCATTGTTTAGAGGGTGATAGGTTAATGGTGCCATACAGATGTGTGCCATACACACTGAGTACAGCACAGTGCCCAACCCTCCACCTTTCCTCGCTCAAGTTGCTAGATGTAGTCATGGCACCTGCAAGGTTTCTCTTAGCCCCATGATCATCAGCCTATCAACCATATCACACCGTTGTGACAGATGGGGCTTGGGACTCAGAATAAATCCCAGCCACACATTTATGCACAAGACCGCTCTATCTTGTTTGAACACTACACCCTAAGACTACAGCTTTTGGATCACTGACTACAGCTGTTGCAATAACTTACATGAAATGTGCTGAGCTTATTAAGACTTTAGCGCTTTTTGGCAGGCAACTCACAGTCCCCTTGCATGCTGCCTTATGTATACCTTCATGTAAGTGAATGTCAACACTGACTGCTCACTTTGCAGCCCTCAGTAGGTATGCGGTCAGGGACCTCTTTGGCCGTTCTTCCATGAAGCTCATTGACATCAGCTTCAGATCCATGAAACCAGCTACCTTGGAAAGAGGTAATAAGCTACCATCACCATTGCTATAGCTTCCTCTGTTGTCAGAGCCTCACTGCAGAGGCTCATTCCCTAACTAGATAAGTCCCTCAATAGCAAGAAGTTATCTTGTGGGAGATAAGCCTGCTATCCAGACACCTACTGCAGCGCTCATCAATATCAGTTGAGAAGGATTCAGTTGGGACATAAAACTCCAGATGTGTAATGAATGAATACGGATCCTGTGCAGGAGCCGGCTACATATAGTGTGATCACATACACCCCACTCTATGTATGCTGGGATTACTGTCCCAAGGGGTGCTGATCCTTCTTCACTGATGGATGATCCAGCCCACTAGTCAGGTATGCCTTCTGAGTTCCATGGCAGCCCATAATGAATGTGATGAGGCAACACATACACAAGTAGACAGCTCGAAGGTTATGTTTTTCTGTAAGATGCAATTCCTTATTTGAGGGAGGGGTGAAAGTATGTGTTTTGAATGTACGTTAAGGATAGAAAACAACAACAACAAAAAAAAAAGATTGCTTGCCTCCAACTTTTTTTCAGGATAAGTTTTTTCAGGATAAGTTTTTCAGGATGCCTGTAAGGACATTTTCAACCTCCTGCTCAATCCCTCTCTCCCAGTCTCTCCCTATTTCTGGGGTTTCTTGGATCCCTTTTGTCACTATGTATTTGCTATGGGGAGGGGACGGACCACTGTGCCTTTCAGAGGCCCTCAGAGCACAAGTATGCCTGCATGCATGTATGTGTGTGAGGCAGCTCAACTATGGATCAGTAATTTTGTTACTTAGGGAACTTTCTAGAAAAAAACAGGCCAAAACAAACCAAATCATTATATCACAACATTAGATGGTACCAAGGAGAAGAAAGAGAATGGTAAAAATTCTAGTCAAGGAATCTGGCATGACCTGGGCTCAGGACAAATCTAGGAGCCCAAGCCCAGG